AAATAATTTAGCAGTGCCGAAGCGCGCACAAACAAAATCACACCCTTGGGTTGTGACACAGGGATCTGTAGTTATGACTACACTGTACGCTTACCTCAGCACTGGAGCTCTCAAGCATAGAATCATGGAATTGGAGATAAGTAGGGCTGGAAGGGACCTCCAGAGGCCATCTAGTCTAGGGTTACTGTATTTCCAGTTCCAAAGAAGAGGACACCGGTCATGTGTGATAGGGAGGGGGCAGGGGGAGGGAGGGAAGTGATATGCTGGTGTGCTGCCCTTGCCCATTCTGTTGCCCCTCACTCCCAAGCCACAGCCCTCCAGCCAGCCCTGCTGCTGCCCCTCACTCCCGACCTGCAGTACCCTGTCCCCCAGGGCCATTCTGGTGTTCCTCACTCCTGACCCACAGCCCCCTGGCATTGCCAGTGCCCCACACTCCTGACTCTCAGTCCCCTGCCCCCCAACCTGGTTCCCCTCACTCCTAAGCCACAATACCCCCAGCCCTGCTGGTGTCTCTCACTCTCAATCCACAGCTCCCTGGCACTGCCAGTTCTTTGCACTCCCAACGCAGTGTCCCCTGCCTCCTCTTGTTCCCCTTACTCCTGAGCCACAGCCCTCCCAGCCTTGCCAGTGTCCTTCACTCCCAACCCACAGCCCACTGCTCCCCCCAGCCCTGTTGCATCTCTTGGCTACCCTGTCCCTATGAGCAAGGGCACTGCCCTGGTGCCACTGGCCAGGCCACACAGCTCCATGCTGCCCCCAAAGGCCACCCCCCACCCCCTTCCCTGCTGGAGAGCCAGGTGCCTCCCCACCACCTCCCCAGCCCTGCTGCAGCCCTGGTGCCCGGACAGTTTCCCCCAGCCCTGCCAGGCACCCATCCCCTCCACACACCCTACCACACATATACACCTGCGCATTCTTCTTCCCATCCAGACAGTCCCCAAGCCCTGGTCCTCCAACCTCTTCCCCCCACAGACTTACCTGTATCCAACTGCTGGGGCTGCTCCCACCACTCTGCCTGGTTGCATGCTGCCTCCATACACCCTGCCACCGCTTCCCCCAGCTGCAAACAGCCCCTTGCTAGGGCAAGCCAGAAGTGCTGGGAAAATCTTTGAAACTGAGCTAGCCAAAATCCCGGACATTTGATCATATTTAAAAAAACTGCCCGGGAGGAGATCAGAAGATCCCAAAACAGGACATGTCTGGGAAAACGCGGACATATGGTAACCCTAATCTAGTCTAAACCCCTGCCTGAGGCAGAATCATCCCTATCCAAACCACGCCATACAACCATAGTCTAAACCAGGGTCGGTCCACAACTGACTCCATTTCCTAGCAGCCCCTGCTCGTGGCACTGTAGCTGGTTTCCACGGAGACCCCAGGTGCAGTAGGGCTGGGACAGTGTGGGGCCAGGGTTTCCCTGGAGACCAGCCCAAGCAGTGTTGGCAGAGTGTGCAGCTGAGCAGGGAGTTGCTCTGGGGCTGGGGCCAGAGCCGGAGCCTGGGCCAGGGCCAGGATCTTGCAGCAGTGACAGCACTGGCCAGAGCCAAGGAAGACCTGCAACCCACTGCCCACATGCCCCAGGCAAGGGCATACAGGCAGTGGATTGTGGCTCTGCTCTGCTCTGGACCACACTGTCACTGCTGCAGAATCCCAGCCCCAGCCCTGGAGCAGCTCCCTGCCCAGCTGTGTGCCCTACCAGCGCAGCTTGGGCTAGTCTCCATGGAAACTCTGGCCCCACACTGTTACCGCCCTGCTGCTCCTGGGGTCTCCATGGGAACTGGCCACAGTGATGTGGGCAGGGGCTGCTGGGAAATCAAGTGTGGCCACCGGCTGGATCCACCATTTTGCCCACCCCTGTTCTAAACTCTGCATAAGACTACCCTCAACCCTGACACAAGACAGACCTAACACCCTAACCTGCCACATAAAGCTGGGGAAACACAGCAGCCAGTGTCCAGCTTGTATGAAATGTTGTCAATGCACACTCAAGAGGTCCTGGGTAGAGGGCCACAGCCTCTGGTACAGAAGGCAGCAAAACCCCCCACAGTCTGCATCAATTTGACCATGGGGTAAATTTCCTTCCTGACCCCAAATATGGCAATCAATCTGACCCTAAGCAGAGGGGCAAGACCCCCTAGCCAGGAACCTCTGGCTTTGGTCCCAGCAGGAGTAATGGGACACCCCAGACAAAATCCCCAGCTTTGGATGTAGCCAATACCCAGTGCTTTGAGGAAAGCTTAAAAACACCTTGAAACATGGCAGAAAGAGTGGGGGCAACCAGTAAAGCCCTGAAACATGGGAAATACCCATGGTAGAAAATAGGCATAGCTATACCTAGATCATCCCTGACTAGTGGCTGGCCAGCCTCTTCTTGAACACCTCCAGTGATGGAGAGTCCACAGCTTCCTAGGCAGTAAATTCCACTGCCTCACTTTCTCAAAGTGAAGAAGATTTTCTGCATATCCAACCTAAACTTACTTTGCTGCAACTTAAAACCATTGGTCCACATCCTCCTCTCTGCAGTAACAGAGAAAAGGTGCTTTCCCTCTTCTTTATGCTAGCCCTTCAAGTATTTGAAGACTGCTATCATGTCCCTTCTTAAGCAACTTTTCCACATGCTGAACCTGCCTAGCTCCTTCAGTCTCTCCTCATATGACTTGTTTTCCAAGCCCTTGATCATCTTTGTTGCCCGCCTCTGGATCCTGTCTAACTTCTCCACATCCTTTTTAAAATGTGGAGGTCAGAGCTATACACTGTACTTCAGGTACTCCAATTGAAGCCTGACCAGTGCTGAGTAGAAAGGCACTATCACATTCTGCATCTTGTGCCTAATACTTGTATTGAGGCATCCCAAAATGGCATTCACCTTTTGTGTGGCTGCATCACACTAGCAAGACTCTCAATTCCTTTTCCATAGTGCTACCATTCAGCCAGGTGTCCCCAATTTTGTGTCTTTTTGTTATTATTCCTCCCAAGGTGTAGCATCTCACATTGGTCTGCACTGAACTTCATCCTGCTAGCTCTAGTCCAACTTTCCAATCTTCTAAATTGTGCTCGTATCCTCCAACTTATATACAATCCTTCCCAGTTTTATGCCATCTGCAAACTTGCTCAAGAAACTTTCTATGCCAGCATCCAAATAATAAATACGTTGAACAGCATCAGGCTCAAGACAGACCCCGGCGGGACTCCACTCAAAACCTCCTGCCATTCTGACATGGACCCGTAATATAACCCTTTGCTTGCAGCTATTGATCCAGTTATCTATTCACCTTACAGTAGTTTTATGTAGCCCACATTTCTCCAATTTGTTTATGACGGTCAATGTAGGACCTTGCCAAAAGCCTTGCTGATGTCCAGATACGCTATATCCACAGCACTCCCTTCATCCACCCAAGTAGTTACTTTATTGAAAAAGGAGATTGAGTTTATTTGGCAGGAATAGTTCTTAGTAAATCCATGCTACTCGTGATCAACCTTTCTTCTGTCACATGCTTTCAAATGGCTTTCCTTTGGATATTCTCTAGTACCTTCCCAGGTACTGAAGTGAGGCTAACCAACCTATAGTTCCCCAGGTCCTCCATTTTGCCTTTTTTAAAGAGGGGGACTACATTGGCCCTTTTCCAGCCCTCTGCCATGCTACTGTGCCATGCTGCCTCCTCAACCAGAAGCAGTATACCCACACCTGTGCAGGGCTTTGGGTGGGCGAAATAGCACTTCTGAATGACAGTGCCAGTTGGCTTTCCCTCTGCTTAATTCACTTACAGTACTGATCAGTCACAACTATGCTGCTTCTGGTTTAGGAGGCAATTTGCCTGGAAGTAGTAGCATAACCGTGCAGGGGAATGAGACGCAAGAGAGCCACCAGCCCCTAGTGTCAACTTAAAGGGGATGCTGGAACAGTGCGAAACTTGTTAGTTAGGAACCTCTGCCTGGAAGAGTGGCCAGCAGTGGCCAGCATGCAGGTGCCATTAAAGAGGATAGGTAGCTTGCTGATTAGACACAGCCTAACTTCATATTTTGGTTCTGGCCTCAAATCTTTTTTTAGCAATGGTCTTAGCCTGACAAGGATTCATATGTGAAACAGGAGTCTTAGTAACAAACTGGAAGATACCTCACCATAAATCTGAAGATAGCATAATGTCTAATCCATTGATTTGTGACTGAGCCAATAATCAGTGCTTCTGTCCATCTTGGCTTTAGTTTTATCAAGTCATAGAACAGATATTGTCAGATGACTAAGTAATTAGCTGTTAGAAGAAAATTTCTGTTTACCACTCTGATCCAAAAATAACATTAGTAGTGTCATAGAATCATTGAAAATGAGGGTTGGAAGGGACCTCAGGAGGCCATCTAGTGCAACTCGCTGCTCAAAGTAGCAACTTGGTCATCCCAGCCAAGGCTTTGTTTAGCTGGGTCTTAAAAATCTCCAGGGTGGAGAGTCCACAACCTTTCTGGGTAACCTGTTCCAGTGCTTCACCACCCTTCTCTTGAGAAAGTTTTTCTTAATATCTAACCTAAACTTCCCGTCTTGCAACTTGAAACCATTGCTCTGTTATCTGCTACCACTGGGAACAATCAAGCTCCATCCTCTTTGGAACCACCCTTCAGGTAGTTGAAGGCTGCTATTAAATGCCCTTTCAGTCTTCTCTTCTCTAGCTCCCTCAGCCTCTTCTCATAAGTCATGTGTCACAAACCCAACCATTTTTGTTGCCCCCCACTAGATTCTCTCCAGTATCACCTACATTTCTATAGAAGTCCAGACTACATAAATAATCAAAATGGATGCAGGCAGTCAACATACCCCTGAAGGATGCTTCACAAACAAGGAGAAGCTGGCAAATCTCTCTTTCATGGGACTGCCACCAAGTAGCACAGTAGATGTAATTTAAACCATACCAGACTAAACAATGAAAATGCTTATATCTGCAGTTATTATTTAAGCAATAATACCAACATTAGTGCAGTCTTTGCATTATGATGAAGCCTAATGTACAAGATCAATCTAGAATTGATCATTAATAATTTCCTCAATGCCTTTGACAAAAAACATAATTTGAAAACTGATAAAACTCCAAAAGCTAATACATCATCAAAAATGCTTTGGCTATAAATATATCTACTAATACTGACTGTACCTGGCAAAAAATGAATCTAAAGGGCATGTTATGAACATCTTTTTGACCATCTTGAGAAAAAGTCTTTGTCAGCAAGTGTTTTTGCTGCCTAGAAAATATCCAAGAAGCTTGAAGTCTATGTAATGACATACACACAACTCATACACAATTTAGAATGTTTTTTTCACAACTAACAAATTTTTGTAATTCCATTATGGTTCCTATAGTACCCACAACATGGGCATGTTGGGTATATTGCAAACACTTAAGGAAGATTAATAATATACGAGAACAATGCAATTAAAATGAAAGGCATTTAATAAAAACATCTAGAGATGAACTTTAACTGAAACTTTGGGTTCAGACTCAAGTTCTGAACTATTTATTTCAAGAGTATGGCAAAATGTCAAAGCAAATTCCCTGATCCACGTGCTACCAAATTTGATGGTTTAAAACACAGACCTTAATCTGAACTTTCTCAGATTTCTTTGTGCTTGGACTTGACCCGTCACTATAAAGATGATATAGCAACTCTACCAGTCAGGTGGCATGTGCATTTATACTCAGAGCAAGACTAGAAGGGAAGTAGGACAAGGAGGGAAGGGGAATTAAACTTTAAAAATAAAACATGCTATTAAGCTGGTTTCTTCTCATCACTCTGATCCTATATCTTTATATATGATGCCCTTTATCTGTTTCTGACTTTGTAAGAGAGTCTTCATTCTTTGGACAGCACAACTGTCTTTTCATCTGTGTTTAGAAACCACCTGTCCATACCATTGGTAGCACCACAATCTAAGAAGGAAATGGAAGCAAAACCTTTTCATTCAGGGTGTAACAAACATAAATTAATTACATCAATAGAGGTATGGACATAAGTAAGGGCTGCAAACACAAGCATTTGCAGAATCAGACTATTTTGCTTCCTCAGTCATGTAACCACTGGCTGTCTTTAATTTCATTATAATTTATTACTTGTTTTCTCATTGTAACCTGTAAATTATTTCTGTTCATTTTCTCACAGCTGTAGTCTTTACAAGTTAAATCTACTGATACTTCCTGGATAAACCAGTGCCCTCCTCAAACTGGAATATTTAGAAAAATAATGTTAGAGTTCAGCAAGACCAGAGTTCAATTTTTTGAAAGTCTAGTGTAACTACAAATTCTGTCTATGCCCTCTAGTGGATGATATCAGTGTTATATCACCAGACAGGGAGCAGGTTAGTAGGACTGCACAAATGCCTTGAGAAAGTCATGTACTTCATCCACAACAGTGCTTGAAAAGTGGAAAGCAGTTGGCAAAGCCACAGATCTTTGCAAAGGAATTATTTTTTCCAACACTCTTTTGTCTCATACCAGTAATATGTAGTATTATAAGTTCCTACCCACTTTTCAAACTGATTTACTGGATAAAAGTATGTGGATTTCCATTTCATGAATAGGACTGCATAGAACCAAAAATTTCCCCTTTCAAGAGAATTTAAAGATCAGTTCTAGGGTAGCCAGGCTGAATCGACACTGCTGTAAGTTTTGAGAATATGCTTGTGTATGTGTATGCATTTATTGAATAATGATGCAAAGGCATCAGGGTCATACTTTTATTTTGAAAATAATACCTCAAAATTGAGCTAGACTAGCTCTCAGCAGATAAGCAAACTTTTTTTTTTTCTTGGAGGCAGCTATCCCATGTTCCAGAGTTTATTCTTCATATTTAAAATATATCCCCAATCCTTATAACTACAAAACCCCCTTCAGTACATGATTCAGATGTGAACAGCTGCAATGATGTCTGCCTGAGTTTGTAGAGTGCCTGAAACCTCAGATTTGATAGAAGTTAGGTGAATAGGGAGCATTTATGGCTGTATTAACCATTTCACTTTTGGGAAAACACCACACAAAAGAAGACCTGTCAAATGACAAAGGTCTGCAGAGCCAATTGCTAATATTTTCTTGTTTTGCCATTAAATTATGCAGAAAGTGGGATAGTACCAGTGCTACTCCCAGTTGAATATATGTAGTTTTTTGAAAATCTATAAGCTGAGTGTTTAATTTAAAAAAAATTGAAGGTTTACTTGTTTTAACATACAGTACAGTCGCATCATATGCGCATTTAATTGTGCAAATCCAACTATACATGGGGTGGGAGAGGGGGTGGGGTGGGGGCTGGAGTTTGCGGCGGCAGTGTGAGGTTTGGGCAGTGGGGTGGTGGCCGGGCGGCATGCAGCCATCCCCACCACCACCCTGCGCTGTGCCGCTGCCGCCGGCTGCACAGCTCTAAGCATGGCTCTGCGGCGGCAGCAGGAGGTTTTGGAGGCAGAGGCAGTCACCGCTAGTCAAATTGCTGGCATGGTAATATGCGATTTAACTACACGCGATTTTCACCTTACGCACTGACTTCAGAACCTAACCCCTGCGTAAGATGCGACTCCGCTGTATTTCAGTAGCTTAAGACAATGAATTGGGTTTTGTTTTATTTCTAGGGTCACCGTAACTGCCATGTGCAACATGGATTTCAGTCGTTTCCCCCTGGATACACAAACCTGTTCACTAGAAATTGAAAGCTGTAAGTAAACAGGATGTATATGTAGGCACCCTTATTTGAAAATCTTAGGGTAAGTTAACTTTAGGCATGTAAATATGTTGGCTGCTTCCCAAAGGTGCTGGGGATCTGCATCTTTCAACAAACTAAATAAAAAGTAAAATACTTTCTGTCTCTACTCTCTTTCAGTTAAAATAATCGTAGATGGTCTTTATTTGAAACCTTTTATTGCTAGACAAGTATGTTTTTTAAATCAGTGTCTCCACCAAAAATTAACCCTCTCCTCATATCCCTGTTCATCCTTCACCCAAAATCATTTGAGCGCTGACTGCTTGAATACCAAATTTTTAACATTAAAAGGTAATCTCATATATTCCTACTACAGCTCAATCCTAACTAGTAGTAGAATACTAACTAGTAGTATTCATGTGCCTTGTTTTTTATGTGGAGTACATACGCATGGGATGAAAAAGCAACATCATCATTTCACTTCTTACACGTCATATTCACACTGGTCAATGTCTAAGCTATATCTAGCCTCGATGGAGCTTCTTTTTCTAACTATGACCTAAACTTGAATTTCCTGGCTATCAGACACAGGCATCTTTAAACTATGCTCTATTAAAGGTTTTTGCCCTCAAGTTGTTGACAAGTATTTGTAACCTTACGTCCACTTCAACATGGTTATTTTTTGTTAGGAATAACTAACATTGGTCTAAACCATACATTAGATAATTAAATACACTCAATATAAAACTAATACAACAAAAGGAAAGAGGCAGTTACTCTGCACATTTACCTTGACTTTCAGCAAGATATACAATTAAGACATCTTGAAATCAAACCCTAACCAGAACTGTTCTTTACCTCATTACACCCATCACCATATATGACCATTACTAATGCTGGACCAACATGGCAGAAAGTCTCTGGTTTACAACAGAATTTTTGTGCCTATCTTTGACACATGCCAACTGTAAATATGTTAATGTTTGATTTAATTGCACTGCAAAGATATGTCGTGCCTTCCCAGATGCCTACACTGAAGATGATCTCATGCTGTACTGGAAGACTGGGAATGATTCTTTAAAAACAGATGACAGGATATCACTATCTCAGTTCCTTATACAGGAGTTCCACACCACCACAAAGCTTGCCTTTTATAGTAGTACAGGTAGGTGAATTTTGCTAGTATTGAACAATCATGGTAGGTTTTGCCTTTCCCCTTCAGATGAGATTCAACTCTGTCACTGCCTGAATAAATGGTCTTGAGTGTGACTCCTTCTGGGCCTGTACAAAACTGCCCTTTAATTGGTCAGAGAGGTTTCTGTCAAATGGTACAAGGCATTCCCTTCCCCCACAGGTTGAAAAATGGGCAAAGATCATGCCAAATCACCACCTTTTATCTGCTCACCACATTACCCCTTCTGTGCTGTACAACATCTGTTTATGTTGCAACATAAATAATAATTTCTGTATAGGAATCTGCTGCATTCAAACTGGACCACATGATAGCTGGTGATACCTTTGATTAAAATATGGGAAAACTTAAGGATGCAAAGCTAACTGGCAATTTTATATGTATAGCCACATAATTATTAGAATTAGTTAGAATAGAAAAATAGGGGCCTGGTTCTACAAATCTCCTCTCCACGGAGCTACCTTTAACTTTAGTAAAAATTGACGGTCAGAGGAGTTACACAGACTATTTTCCAAATTAGGATGGTCAGGCTTTGCCTACATGGTGAGTTATTCCTGACTCTTGGGAGTACCTTATTCTGTATTTGCTTAATCCAGTTTGGATTAATTTCTGTTTGAGCACATCATTCTGGGAGTGTGATGCTACATACACATGAAGCTACATCGCTGTAGCAACGCACTACAGTGACGTAGTGTCAGCAGGCAAAAACCATGATGCCACGGCTACATCACCCTGGTGAAATGCTCCCTTTGTATAGTGCATTGCTATGGCGACGCAGATGCTAAAAATAACTGTGCCATGCAGATGGCACAGTACAGGCCATGGCACAGTACTGTGCCATTATTTAGTAGTTCCAAAAGGAAGTACTTGGTCCAAAAGGAAGTACTAAATGATGGTGCAGAAACAACGATGCCACAGGGGCTTGTGTAGATGCGCCCTCTTATTCTGAAATAAGAGTACCTACAAAGATGTGATCAGGAACAGCTATACTACTTTAAAATGGCACTCTACCTCCATCTGAATTAATGCCCAGGTATTTGCTCTAAAGCAGAGGTTCCCAAAGTTTCACTTCTGAAGGGCCAGTTCAAAAGGGCAGTCCCTGGGTGGTGGGCTACAAATAGGTTCACAGGTTGCATTTGGCTTGCAGGCCACACTTGGGGAACCCCTGGTCTAAAGAGTTCAATCCTGTGAGGGGCCAAAACTTCAAGAAGTTTGATAAAGATCCACTTTGTTTTGAAAGACAGAAAAAGCTGTGTGATCACTGAAAAATTGCAGTACTATTAGATTGTGATGATCTTAGTGCCACTTCTTTCCTCCACCCCTTTCTGTTATACAGGGTGGTACAATCGTCTGTATATCAACTTCACTTTACGGCGCCACATCTTCTTCTTCTTACTCCAAACCTACTTCCCTGCCACTCTGATGGTCATGCTGTCCTGGGTGTCCTTCTGGATCGATCGCAGAGCAGTACCTGCCAGAGTCCCTTTAGGTAAATAAAAATATTGAAATAGAAAACCCAGCTAAGAACTACATGCTAAAAGGGACCATTTAATTTAAACTAACTCATCAGGCTTAACATCACCCCTGTGCTACTATACAACTTGAAATTTGGTTACTGCTCACATACAAAAATGGCCTGGGCTGCCTCCACCTGTTCCACATTATCCTAGCATATTAGTAGGTACCTTAAATATCAAGACACAATGAAAAAACAAATATGAAAGAAAGAGCATTTCTAACTACAGATACCAATAAACTTTACAAATTCTAGTGTACCAAAAGGTAAAAAAAATGATAGTGACCATCTTCTGTTTAAACATGTAAATGTATTTCCTTTTCTAGAAGATGTCTTGTATTATTGGAAATAAACCTGATATTTTGAAAGCAGTGCAAGGGAACTCTCTCCCAGTTTTGCAATGAACTTCATGAAGATGGATCCAGAGGCTTCCATCAAGATCTGCTGAAATCAGTGGGGTTTGTTGCAGGATTGTGACCTTGGACAAAAACTTCCCTTTAAAAGTAATGCCTTGAAATTCTCATCCGTATTGAATAAGTGTTAACATTTCCCACAGACTGAGAACCCAAGCCTGCTTCCACTGACTTAAGCAAACCAGGATCAGGGCTTTATTTACTGCAAATTAACTTTCCTTACAGAAAATATATGCTAGGCATCCAGTAAATATGAATGAATGTTTTCTCATATTTTTGTTGGGAAACAGTTGACATTTATACTAAGGCATTGCTATCAGATGCCTTGAGACCTAGTTTTAAGTTATAATAATGGAAAATAGAAACTAGACCCAAAGCAACAAAGGAATTAGTCATTTAATTTCTACCAGGTTCAGTAGTAGCTATGGGCATCTTTACACATGCTCTGGAGGTGAAAGGAGCGGGGAACTTTAATTAGAGTGGCTCTAAGAGCTGTTCTAATGAAGTGCCCACAGCGTCTCATGGATTCAGCGTTCCACGCTTCAAAATGGTGGCGAGGCCACTTTAACTAAAGCTTGTTGAATGAGCTTTAGATAAAGCACCCTCGTCACCATTTTGAACCATGGGACACTGAATACACGAGATGCAGAGGCTGTTGGAGTGCGCTAATTCCAGCAGACTCTATTAATTGAGTCTTCTCTGACACGCTGTAATGACAGCACATGTCATTACAGAGCAGCATCCCCACACATCTACAGAAATCCTAAATGCCTTTAGGGAGAGATATATATGATTATCCTGATTTTATAGATAGGGAAAGTATATGCTGGGCAACCTAACTACAGCCATATTCTCATAGCTTGGCATGCTGAGCGGCACCTTTTTCGATGAAAAGGCCTGCTGGAATCAATGGGATCACTCCCAAAGCAAGGTACTGTTCACCATGACAGGTATCAGAATCTGGCCTTTGATCTCTCTGCCTCAAAAGGAAGCTCACCTCTGGCACATTCTTGGGAAGCTGTCAGACTAGGCACTGGGGTTGTCTTCCAGGACACATTCTTGAATGATTGAGTTTTCTCACAGCCCTAAGGTCCCAAATGATGGACTCCTTCCTCTGTCAGCATCAGAGAACTATAGATTTCAAATCATATCCCCAAAATTGTGACACATACTATCCTTTTACTAGTCCTTCAGTCACAAGCCTGGCTTTATCCTCTTGTGAGCTTTCAACAGGCTAGGCAACATTTTCTGGTGACTGGCCAGAAAAACCCAGCTCGTCGGTGAGCCAACACTAAGACCTGGCCATTACTGCTGGCTCTTCCTACCACCTACCCATGGTCAAAGCAAAACCCCCTCCCCCCACTGCCAAATACCAGAGGCCCTCTACCTTCTTGGACTGGGCCCAATTGCTCCACGGGTTGTAGGTTGCCAACTCCTGGGATAGAAAGATGGTCTCCTACCTCCTTTGTGCAAATGTAATAGAAGCACAGTAAACCATGTTCAGTGTTAGTTTCAAACACTGAACCCAATTATATGAGCAGATCTGTATCTGCCAGTACAGAAGCAAAGAGTAGGCAGATGGCAAGAAAACAGGCTGGCGAGAACTGGTGAAGATGAGTGGTGTGCCCATATTGCTTAGTTTGTGGCCACGCTTTGTGGTAGAAACTTAATTATTCATAGCATCTAGGCCTTAGTGCTTAACCTCTAATGAATTATCTAGCTCAAATTTAGAACACCACCACAATACCTGCACCGGTATTTTTATGTGGACAGAAGTTAGGTATGAAACAACACTCAAATAAGGATCCAACTAACTATGCAGTTAAGACAAGTCCTTCCTGTTAAACCCAGGTTAGAAATCAGGGAGTACTAGATCCCACCCAGACAACTAAGGCATACTTTAACCAGGGGGGACAACATACATTTGAAGAATAACCAAGAACTTTAGATATAGAGTCTAATGTGACTATCTCTAACTGCATGATGGTGTGTTCCTAGGGATAACAACGGTGCTGACCATGTCCACCATCATCACTGGTGTGAATGCCTCAATGCCTCGTGTATCTTACATCAAAGCAGTGGACATTTACCTTTGGGTCAGTTTTGTGTTCGTCTTCTTATCAGTGCTGGAATATGCAGCAGTGAACTACCTTACTACAGTGCAAGAGCGGAAGGAGAGGAAGCTGCGAGACAAGGTGAGATAACTGTCTCCAGGATCATTTTATGCAACAGAAAAATAAAGAGTTTGAAAGTGTGCATTTGCAGTGAAAGTCTAAGCTTCCTTGGAAGAACAGAGGAAGTGCAAAAAAGCAGATGTCAATAAAATACTCCTTGTTGGTTTGAAAGCTAGCTACTGTCACCTGGCCCTTAATCTCACTGAACTAGACATACAAAGAATATTTCTTGGGGGGTGGGGGGAAATCCAGAACAAAACTGAGTTTTAAGCTAGCAACACTTCTCCTGAAACAGAAGTGCCAGGTCCTGCACAGCTCCAAGCAGAGAACACCTGACACCTGGGCCACAGAGCCTGAGAGCTATCTATGCCTTTCTTAATCTCCTAGAACTTTTCATGCTGTTCCAGCACAGACCATATTTTCCAATTTCTTACTAAATAGACCAAAAAAATGGGATTTTATTTTTCATTCTTTTATATGAAAGATAGCAAAGCTGAAGTACAGCTTAATAAATCACATCTGATGCAGACCAAGAACCATCAAGGAAAAAAATTGCCTTTCCTCACTCCTCTGCAGCCTGGCTCCTCTTCTAGTTTTTGTCACTGCATTTACACCTAGTAAAAGAAGAGAAGCTGCTGCCCTCCCTTCACTCCTGCTGCTCTTCTCCTTTGTTTTCCATGGATTGTGCCACACTGCTGATGGGAGGCAGAGATAAATTATCAGGTTCAGATACCCAATACAAAATATCTAGGACAACATTCAATCTTGAATGTTCTCTGTTTTACAGCTTCCTTGTACCTGTGGAGTACCTCAACCACGGCCTATGATGATGGATGGAAACTTCAGTGATGGGGATGTGAATGAACTGGGCCACTATGTATCCGAGAACGGTGATAAGCAAGACAGAATGATGGTTCAGCTTTCACTTGGTTCTGAAAGGAGTTCGAACAGGAGGAAAAGTCCAAGATACGTCAGCATGCGGATTGACACCCATGCCATTGACAAATATTCCAGGATAATATTCCCGGGTGCATACATTGTATTTAATTTGATATACTGGTCCATTTTTTCATAAGTGTCAGTTATTTCTGTAGTCAATTTCCACACAGTGCTTTGTGTTTGAAATCAATCTCTCTCATGCTAATAGAAAGAAAATGGAGAAAAAAAATAATTTGAACACTGTTTAATTAATTCTGTTTTTGATATTTTTATTATATAAATTGCATTTGTGTTGCAAAACTCAATGTGCACACTTCAGGTTTGAGCTAAAAGTTAGAATTCATTGCATATATTTTTATACTTCAGGCTGTACCATGTTCCCTCTTGTGCCTCATGGGCCACTGTAAATCTTTTTAATAGGGGATGAATTGTCAACTACCCATGTGTGGGAAACCCTCATTTTGTATTTTAGAAACCTTTCCTAAAATTCTGATCCAGCAAATACTTAAGCATCTAGATTAATTCCTGTGTTAAATAGCCTAGCTGAGTTCAGTGGCATTATTCATGTCAGGAACATTATATAAATGCAAGGGCTGTGTGAAGCTTCGTTCACTGATTCGATTTGGTAGAGATTTGGCCCGATTCAGCAGCCGAATCTCCAAATCTGAATTGACTCAGAAGACCCTTTAATCTCTCCAAATTGAATTGGAGAGATTCGATGATTCAGGCATAAACACAGCTTTGAAAGTTTTTTCTACATACCTCGAGATACCAGGTGCGGCTCATGAACACTGCAATGCTAGGGAGGATGTAGCGTCCCATGGGAGCACTGGGGGGAGGGGCGGTCCCCAGCACCCTTGGCAGCGGACTTGGAAGTGGACCAGAAGCACTTCCAGTCCACTTCCGGGTCTGCCACCAAGCACATGGGGGACTCCCCCATGCTCCTGTGGGACGCTCCATCCTCCCTAGCATTGCAGTGTTCATGAGCCGCACCTGGTATCTCGAGGTATGTAGAAAAAACTTTTAAAGCTGTGTCTATGGCCAAATCGCTGATTCTCCGAATCAACATTGAATCTTCAGATTTGGATTCAGCCAAACCGAATCAGGACAGTGATCCAAATCGATTAATTGAATCACTGTTCCCCGAATCAAACTGAATCCGAATCCAAATCGAATACGGCCCACTTCGCACACCCCTAATAAATACTTAACTAGCAGGACAAAGACATAGGTGGCATAGCAAGCACCAAATGTTCAATGCCAAAAGATTATTATGGCAAGTTTTACTGATGCTTATGGTTTGCTTTCCCCTATTTAACACATTCTTCTTCTAAGAGAGTGGTGGAGTAACTGAATGATCCGAATCATGATGTCTTACAGAGCACATGTGCTCCACCCTGTGCATTCCTAAAAGAAATAAAACTATCAAGCTTGTGTGATAATCCAGTGTTAAGTACAACCTGAAGTGTAAATTCATACAAATATACCTAATAGAATTTTTATTTTCTTCAACAGTAATAAAATCCTCCAAAAATGCATGGGAGATTTCTTAGCACTTGCCTCTGCAAGTCAATGGGAGTTGTGTTGGTGAATTAATTAGAGAAAAACAGCTATTCAAGAGAAACTAGACAAATTACCATTTTAAAGAGAAACAGGTTAAATGAGCACATCCTTATTTAGTTAGGGCATTACAGTTATAGTCAACATGTTCAGGCAGGAAAAGTAAAAACTGTAAAACAACATAGATAAAGATATTATTCTGATGCTGAAGTTTTAACTTTCCTCCAGTCAAATCAGTGGACCTTGAAAAAGAGTAGTGGCAGGTATCTTACAGTCAGTTATCAGGTGTTACCCACAAACATGTAGGTAGATGAATGTGGATGGATAACAGGACTTGAAAAAATAACTGTAAAGAAATTGTATATACGTACAGGAAAAAAATTGCTGCACATGCTGCTAAATGTTTTAATCTTTTCTACTGGTAGCCCCCATCACAGTCATGCTATAGAAATTACACCTCTTTAAAGTGAATGGACCTCTTGCATGAAATACGATTTGGAATGGCTGGTTCTGCTGTTTTATGCTTGTTTTAGCCAGGCAGACATAGAAGACATCTGAACAATGTCAATATTTTTTTCCCTTCAATATATAAAAAACATTATTATAAAATACTCAAAATTTTAAACTGCTACAATCATGAACTGATAGGAAGATAAAATGGGGCACTGCTTACCAAAGCATCCAAATGTTAATAAAAACATGTATATTTCTAAAATAACTAATAGAAACCTACAGCCATCAGATGATTGTTGGACTGTAGAAACATGCATCAGGGAGTACAAATCTATTATATACTATCTTGACTATCTTACTAACTCTTCTCTTATTTTGTCTCTCCTGAGCTTTCCCATTTCCCATTTTTTCTTATAAATAGAGTTTGTACTGAACAAACGTAAAAATGTTGCTTTGATAGGGCAGTTGAAAAGCTAAGGACCAGATACTGCATCCTTTACTCACAGTCAATAATATCTTGCTCCACAAATAATCCTATGATTTCAAGGGAACTACTAATCCAGTAAAGTTTGGCCCTCAACATTATAAAGAACAATCGGTTTCCATTGTTACAATGGAATACTAAACGCTGAAGTTATTTTTAAGTGGGATTGTAAAACCTTGCAGGAAATTACATCTAAATATATAGCCTATAACTATTTTCCTCAATGCACCATTCCTTTCAGTGGTTTTAAAGACTCAGTAATCTGGCATTATACACTTCATTGACCTTTGAGCAAATGGTATTAAAGGAGATTTTCAAAACTGTAAATGGGAGTTGGGCTTTCTACTTCCGGTGACTTTCAGTGGGAGACAGGTGCCTAACAGTCCTTTGAGCTCCTCAAAGTTTCCCTCATTATGTCTCTTTCCAAGATTTTTAATCCTTGTACTGGAATTTCCATCATTACTTATATTTTTATGGTTTTGCTTTCATGTTCTAGTGCCTTTTTGGTCTGTATTATAAATACATTTCTTCCATGAGAACGGGAGGTGTTAGATAAAGGCAATAGTTGACTTCAAAGTTTATAAGTCATTACATAAACACACAAAAAGCACTTTGGGGTTTTAAATTTTCAATGTACATTTTACATAAGATTATTAACATTCCATTCCTTTTCATTTCTGTAATAAACTTAAGTAATTTATGGTTTTATTTCTAGCAAAACAACTCATAATAAATCTTTACATTTGTATTGCGGGGCGTTTTTTTTCCCCCCAATTCTAGAATAGTATTTCCAGACGTTTATAAAATGTGCATAGCAGCTTTTCTGCTCAAAGATTTATGCAGAATGTCCCTAAATGCTAGTGACACTACATGCTATGGGAACACTTAAGACTTCACAGCCAGGACTGTAGCAAGAAGCCTATATTCAAATTAATACCGGTATATCCCTTTTCTTATTAAAACTTTCACTCTAGGCTATTTAAGCAGTGGTGGCCTTAGGGTTGTTGAGGCCCTGGGCAAGAGAGTCATTTGAGGCCCCTTAAAGGTATATACTCAGGTAAATATTAACCCACCACAGTTGTTTCATGGATTTTTTAAATATTATTTGGAGGAATTAGATAAATAGAGTGGTAAAATGCAAACAGAGCCACTTCCTTGCAAAAACTTCACCCCCCCCAAAAATTTGGGCCCCCTAAATTATGGAGCCCCAGGCAGTCACCTGGTTTGCTCTCCCCTAAGGCTGCTACTGCTATTTAAGTGTCCTGAAGGACTGAGAATTGCTCCCAAAGTTTTATTTTTCCTAGGGACGCAAGCACCAGCTAATAGACATTTTCCAAGTCCATGGGGAGACTGGTTCAAACCAATTTCCAAAGTTGCAGTGAAACAAGGGAATTTGAACACCAATCACAATATTTATTTAAACAACTCAAATATTGGGTGTAAACCAGGAATCTTCAAGAAGACCTCTGCAAATTCAAGACAACCAGCTCCCAGCCTGCCTGCCAGCTTCCTCCTGTCCCTCTCTAGGTGGTATAGATGAGAATCTGTATTGTGCAGCCACAGGCAACTAAACAGGCATAGAGACAAATGCTTATTTTTCTGCTTTGGGGTGTAATCAGTAAAAAGCTGGGTTATAGACTTGTGTCTTGCCTCTTTTTCTGACTTTGGTGGTAGTAGTAATGCTTTACCTCAGTGGTTCTCAACTTTTGGTACTTACATACCCCCTGCCAATCAATGTGGCAAAAGCGAAACCAGAAGTCCCACCGTGGAACTTCTGGTTTCGCCGCTGCGACCCGAGTCCCACTTTTTCCTCATGGACCATGGTCCAGGACAAAGTAGCCTGTGTGGAGCCTCTCTCCCTGTCCCCTGGCACACTGACACTGGGGAGTGAAAGCCCCAGTGCACTGGATGCGGCGAGAGGGGTGGCATTTGGAACTTCTGGCCCAAACAGGCAAAGACGCCTCCAACCCACTGGGCAGGGGTGGGGGGAGCGGTGCGGACCAAACTCAAAATGCAGCACCCATGTACCCCTTGCCCGTGTCTCACATACCCCCAGGGGTACGCGCACCATGGATTGAGAAACACTGCTTTACCTTATAAGAACGAGTGGAGGATCACTGAGAAATGTGACTGCATCTTGACTTGGTTTAAAAAAGGTGCAATCAGTAAGAAAATTGTAATTGTCCCTAAATTCTAAGTCTAAGCTTGCAAAGAAGTCCTGATCATAGGTGGCCTATAGTCTTGTCTCAAAAGATTGAATGGCTCTAGGTTTTTGGTAACACCCCCTCTCCCATCAACACGTGCATACCCACAACTTACCTGAAGGTGTGATATGCACCTTACATGACAATGTCTTTGGAGCAATGGTTGTCAGTTACTTTCAGTATAGTCACGTAGAACCTTAGCCTCCTGGTTCAGCTACAAAGAAAATGGGGAGTGTGCCCATGGACCTGTCATGCCCTTTCTACACTTGTCCCAGCCGCCTGCGGAGGGTTCGGAATTGAGAGTATGGTCGGGGGTAAAAAGGTAAGAAAGATTTATTGACTTAACAAAAACACAACTACGCATAGTAACAAGACAAACAATGACAGACAAAAGCAATTTGCGTCAGCAACTTATCGGCAGTTCCCTCTGATGCC